AAATGTACAAGTAAATGATCAGAATCGCAACGTTCAAAGACCAGTTAGAAATAGTGTGTTGCCTAGAAAATTTGAAAATTTTATAATGAATTAAATTTGATAATAAATTTTTTTTTTCCTCTTCCTTATATTACAAAATTAGTTTTTTGTGTGTGGAACTAAATTGATAAAACGTACAACAAAAAAAAAAGATCAACGAAGAGGTGAACGAGTAAGAATGACAAACGACAAAAATTAAAAAAAAAAAAAAGGGTGAAATGTTAAACAGTATTAACTTTAAAAAATTGTTTTTTTTTACATCCTTAAGCCATTTATGGCGTAACTTAAAATATTTCAAATGTAATAAGAATTGTTTCTTTCTTTTTGTTAAAAAACAACTTTTATATTTTAAATCAATTTGTTTATAAACTAATATTAAATTTTATATTTTATAAATCAGTTTCTTTCTTTTTGTTAAAAAACAACTTTTATATTTTAAATCAATTTGTTTATAAACTAATATTAAATTTTATATTTTATAAATCAGTTTCTTTCTTTTTGTTAAAAACAACTTTTATATTTTAAATCAATTTGTTTATAAACTAATGTTAAATTTTATATTTTATAAATCAATTTACTTAATAAACTAATGTTCAAATTTTTATTTTTAACTTTTAAAAAAAAGATCAATTTATTATAAATTACATTAAATTAAATTGTCAATATATATAGGAAACTTGAATAATCTCCTATGTCTATGCTCTCTCTCTCCCTTCTCTTTCCTAGTTTCCATTCTTTTATCCCTTACCCTTTCGCAAATTATATTTATATATTTTTTTTACCTTTATTAATTTTACCATATAAAAAAATTTATTATTTGCTATAAACTTTTGATAACATATTATATCAGCAACTATTGAAATAAAGAGAGAATTTACCCGTCAAAAAAAAAAAAAAAATTTTGAATATGTGATCATTATATTTTTTAAATTTAAATATCAATAAATTTACGTAATATACGTCTTTAACATTTATTTTCTGCCTTTATTACTAAATATCGCTCGGCTTATATTTATGTATTAAATTTCCAAACATTTTCCAGTGGGTTTTCACTTTCCTAATATTAATTAAGAATTAATTAGTTTATAAATAAGATAAAGGTTTGGATGGACAGGTGTAAAAAATTATCTATTAGATATTTTAGCTTCAATACTTTTATAAAATTAAAATTGCCCATAACATTTTTTATTTATTAAAGTAAAAGAAATAATATTCTATCCGCTAGATGGCGTCTTTATATTTTTATTATAAAATTTAAAAATAATATTTTTGAATGTGTTTTAATATATGAATGTGTTTAATAAATTTCGCCATATTCTATTATATATTTTTAATTTTTTTATTATAAAATATAAAAATAATATTTTTGAATGCGTTTAATAAATTTTGCCTTATTGTATTAAGAAATTATATAGGATAATCATAATTATCCAATATTTCTAGAATATCGAATATATTTCATCAATATATATCAGTGTTGTAAACCCCCCTTCTAAAAAATGGGTTCGGGTGAGAGTTCAGTGAAAAATCTCTGAATCCAGTTCAGGATAGTATAGTTAAATAGTGGAATTTTATTGACCCTGAACTCGAGCCGTAGTCGTAAAAAACGGCTCAGACTAGTGCGGCTCAATAAGCCGTTTGAGCCGATTCTATATTAAAATATTTTATATATCATCAAATTTATAAAGAATTATACAAACTATTATTTTATATATATGATCCCCAGAGTTGTTAAAATACACTTTTTAAATGGATCTAGATGCAAATACACCCATTTTTTAAGTTTTAAATTAAATATAGGGGAAAATAATCCTTGAAAAAAAACCGGAAAAAAATTCCCAAATAATTTTTGTTTAAATTTTCAAATATAACCCTGCCGCTAAAATAACGGAAATATTTCTAAAAAATTATATTCAGTATTTTCTGAAAGTTGTATTTTTATCTCGACGTTTGAGGATTTTTATTTCTGTTTTAATTCTAAGCGATATAGGGCAATCTCAAAATATGAGAATTGATAAATCGGTTGGTAGCTTTGATACTTTATAATTTAGTAGATAGCATAAAAATTATAGATTTGTGACATCTTGGAAAGAAAACATGATAGATTTTTATAGAAATAGATGAAAATTATGATTTCAACTTTTGAAAAAAAAGATGGAAACAAATAATATTTTTATTATTTAATTTCTTTTGGAGAAAAAAAGGAAAGGGAGGGAAATACAATTGAAAGTTATGCTATTATGAAAAAAAAAATATGTAAAAAACGGAAGTTATTAATATTAAAAAAAATATAACTCAAATTTTAAGATGCCAGCCAGGCGGCAAAAGGATTCAAAAAGTATTAATAGTTAAAAATTAAAATAACATAATATCAATCACAATTCACTTCAAAATAATCATTTATTACACATCATAAATTTTTTTTTCGAATTCATATTCACAATGGAGGATGCTATATTAAGGTTAATATTCATTTACTCTTCATATTTTCTTTACCTATGAAATGATTCACAAAATAGTCAATTATTTTATTATGGTTTTTACTTTTTATTCAAATAAAGATACATAGGTTGTTACATGCTGTGACCCTATTAAAAAAGGGTTCAAGTTTATTTAATAATTTACTTAAAAGCAAAGATAAATTACATTCATTAGATAAAACTTTATCTGTTTTAAAACCAAAAGGCTCAAAAAAACCACATCAGCGACGTAGAATTAAAGCAGAAAGGACTCGATAAAATATTTTTTATAAATTTTAATTCCTTATTTTTCCCCAATTTTCCCCTGCTCATAATCTATTTCATCAATATATATAATTTTATTATCCTAAATGTATATTTAAATCTTCTTTGCCGAACAAATTATATTTTATGAATGTAATAATTATATTATCCTAAATGTATATTTAAATCTTCTTTGCCGAACAAATTATATTTTATGAATGTAATAATTATATTATAATAACATTATATATCAATTTGGTAAAAATAATTATGATTTATATATGAATGAATAAAATGAATTACCATCGTTATTAATTTATCTGATTAATAAAAATTGCAAAATTTAAAAAAGACTACTAATTTTTTACCAAAATATAGATAATGCTATAAAAAAAATCATAAATATTTTAGTCATCATGATAGAATATGGCGAAATTTATTAAACACATTCAAAAATATTATTTTTAAATTTTATAATAAAAAATTTAAAGACGCCATCTAGCGGATAGAATATTATTTCTTTTACTTTAATAAATAAAAAATGTTATGAGCAATTTTAATTTTATAAAAGTATTGAAGCTAAAATATCTAATAGATAATTTTTTACACCTGTCCAAACCTTTATCTTATTTATAAACTAATTAATTCTCAATTAATATTAGGAAAGTGAAAACCCACTGGAAAATGTTTGGAAATTTAATACATAAATATAAGCCTAGCGATATTTAGAAATAAAAAATTTATTATGTAATTAGCCGAGCGTAATTTAAATAATAAATGATTTATTATGTGGTTATCCGAGCCACATTTCCCAATCGAGCGATATTTAGTAATAAATGATTTATTATGTGGTTAGCCGAGCGATAAATAGACCCACCGAAGATATTATAAAAGTGAATACCATTACCATCGTCATTTGAGGATTTTGTTATTTCTAAATCAATTTAAATATACCTTTATTTAGTAAAAAATTTTTTATATCCATGTGGGAATTAAATAAAAATTTTAAAAACTATCTAAATTCAGTTTAACAATTTAAATTTTATTATTAAATTTAAAATATCTAATTAAACAATAAAAATATATTTACAATATATATTTAATTGTTATTTAATATTTTATTAGTTCATAAAAATATATTTCATTTTTTTATCGTATATATTATTTATTTTATTTCTAATTGAAACAGTAAATAAAAAAAATTTTTTTTGAGGGGTGTTGGGGGGTTTCAACCCCAAACCCCCTCCCCCTTGTCTACGCCACTGTTCTAGTTGGCGCCTTTATAAATCCCTGAAATAAAGAAAAATACGAGCCTTGATCGTTCACTTAGAAAAACATTCCTTTTACTGATGACAATATGAAAAAATTAAAAATAATTAATCTAATGATAGAACAAAAATATAAATTATATTGATGAATTAAATATTTTTTAAAATATATATATTTTGTAGCAAGCGGGATTTGAATCTAAATTTATTTGAATCTTACTTAAATTGAGGCAATCGGCAAAAACTCGGTCTCAATTAGATTACCCGCAAGACCCGATAAGAAGCTAAAAAAACTGACTAGTGGACGGGTGAAAAAAATTCTGACTGAATAACTTAAGTCTTTTTCCGTCATAAAATTTTTTTTATAGATCGGACCACCGGACAGCTTGTACAAAAATATTCTACTAATTATTTTATGAGCCGGAAAATAAAAATTTCCAGGTCGGGCCCAAAAACTTACATCTTGATTTGATCCTATTAAAAAAAATACGATAACCAGCCTTGCTTATTTCTGTTTAGCCTAGGCTATTCAGCCTTTGAGCTATGAAACCCTATTCTTGTTTGTTTTAAATTTGTACATTAAATTATACAAAACCGAGGCCTTATCAATTAATTAGTTGAAAAATTATTTAATGAATTATTTAGCATTCATTTAGAGCTCCATTTTCAATTTCCCCTTCGAAAAGATCTATGAAATATAATCAAAATTATTTATATTTTAACGAAATTTTAAAAAATCTAAGTCAGGCCAAGCCCTAAAATAATTATTTAAAAATCTGACGCTATAATTATTATAATAAATTTGTTTAATTCTAAATTCCATCAAAAAAAAATATTTATATACAAAATATTGAATTAAAAATAACGACAGATAATTTTACAATATAAATTAAATATATATTTTTATACATTTTTAAAAAAAAAAAATTTTATAGCCTTACAACACATAATATAAATTAATTAGTTTTTTTTTAAAAAAAATTCCTATACAAATTGATTAGGCTTAAAATTATTATATAGCTATAGTATATTTTAATATAAAAAATATATAATCTGATTGATTTGTATTAAATTTTGATAAATAAATTGATCTAAGGATATAAAATGATTTTCTTGTATTTATCGTATAAATGCATAAGCTTGTAGTTTAATTTTAAATGTTTCTTTCTTAGCATCCTCGAGGTACATCCATTAAAGAACCCCCAATACCAGAATCTTTGGATATCGACTGCTTAAGAAGCAATAATTTCCTTGTATAAATAAATTACGAATAATGTTATCATTTTTTCTTTCAATGAATATTTATCAATCGGGAAAATATAATATTCTAAAATATAAGTCCAGTTTAAAGAACCAATCAACATTATAGAGTAAAAATTCATAGCATAAAACTAAAATCGTAAAAATTTCCAAATTTTCACATTATAATGCTAGATTAGATACCTCAGAACAAACTGCGCATTTATAGGAAATGTTAAATAATTTTAAAAACGCTAAATACTTTAATCATTTCCTGTCCTAATTAAATCCATTTCTGCTTTAAAAATGAAAATGTTTAAATAAAATATTATTCCGGGGGTATAATCTCAACTTCAATGATTCGGAAAGATAAATTTTGTTTTTGATATAGAAAACTAAAAAATTCATACTTTTTATGCATCGAGTCAACGGTATCAAATTTATTTTTAACTCCGTCCATCGTATTTTTCCGAAAAATAGTATTCGTTTCGATAGGAACACAAGATCCGAATAGTGTTGGAGCGAGATGTTGAGCGGTCGTTGATACGACGTTGCAGGTATTTTTACCGTCTTGAGCGTCAAAAAGGAGGCAAATATTATCGACAGGTTTGGTTTTGCATATGTAAGCGACGTTATTAGAATTCGTTTCGAAAGGGTATTCGGGGGAAAGGGGAGGAGTTGATGTATCACAGTTTTTGCGGAAGTTAGCGTAGGATTTATTGGGACTTTTCGAGTACCTGACAAAATCGGAAAATTCGTAAGGCTTTATAGTTTCCGTAAAAGTTTGGCATATGGCGCCCAGGGCTTGAAAATCTTGATTTCCATTTCGAGCATCCGATGAATGGGCCCCTGAAAAGAGAGGGGAAATTTTTTCTATTTCCTTATCCTGGGCTAAAGTTGGATAATTTTTGGACCGATAACTGCATTTGGTGTTGTAAACTTCGCTGGGGAAGTAACCGGATTTAGCGGAATTCGAAAAATGTGGATAATTCGCGGGATCTGAGTTACTATCGCATAGGAATTTGTCGCTAGCGCGGGAAGCGTCGATGTCATTTTGGGGGCTTTATTTTTTAAAAATAAAATTAAATTTCAAATCTCTAATAAATTCTAGTTTTGATTTACATGATGGATATCGTTTTATAAACCAAATGAATTGTTATTCCAAATATAAATTGGGAGGGGAAAATATATCCTCTACAAAATAACAAAAGCCGTGTCACAGAAAAATTGTCACGTTTTGTAAAAAGGTGCAACAAGCCATGAGGTGGAATCGAACTCGCAACTAAATACGATATGTGTCACAGCTGCTTACTGCTTGGTTATCACAAACTCTTATGGGATAAGTAATTTTAATCTATGTATTCCCAGATTATTAACCCCTTAATGGTCAAGATTTTTCTAATGGATAAAAATGCTCATCAAATTATATTGATTAATGCTCATATATGATATTCTAAAAAAAAATCAGCAGAAAAAAATAATCCTAAATAGAAAATCTAGCCTGGTGCATATCTGTACCGTTGACCATTAAGAGGATACCATTTTAAAAATTTTAGATTATACCATACCAGAATCTAACGGCCATATTTTCTATTTTCAAATTTAAGATGGATCTAAATATTGGAAATAATCAGGCACATTGTAGTAACAAAGTATATCTTATATTATTTTTAATTTTTATAATTATAAATTAACTTTATTTTCATGGTCAGTAAATTAATTTTAATCAAACTGGGTAGCCTCAACAGTAAATTTTATTCTTAATTTTTATCAATAGTATCGAATTTTTTAATCAAAATAGATCTAATTATAAGAGACCTGTATCGCGAAAGAAAAAACAACATGAAATAAAAGGCAACATCTTCATCATCCATAAGATTAAATATTCTATTTTATTATTTTTACACTTATTAAATTTCAGGAACATATTTTGGGTAAAGAGAAGGCAAAATCATCATCAAATAAAAGGCAACATCTTCATCATCCATATAACAGTAAATTCTATTTTATGTTTTCAAGTTTTACCCTTATTAAAATTTCAGATGATTTATGATATATCTTGGGCCAAGAAAATACAACATTTTCATCATCAAATAAAATGCAATATGTTAATATAATTTTGAAAATATTTGAACAGGTTAATTTTTCAATATTATAAATTTTTATTATAATATTTTTCTCTTTTTATATTGGCTACAAATGCATTTTTGTTGAAACCCTAAATTCTTAAGTCTTAAAGTATAAACAATTATTATAATTTCTTATATTTCATATCTTTGTCTCTTTCTATTTCTTCATTTTTCTTTTCTCTTATCCCCTAAAATCCGTCTCCCACCTTCACGCTGTGGGGAGCGATCAGCAATAACTAACGGGAGCTCTGGTGTTAATGATGGGGAATCATTTTTTCTTACTCCTTTATTTGATGATGGATAAATCAAAAATTTCCTTATGCTTTAGGCTGATTTATCCATCATCAAATAAAGGGGATATTTGGATTCAACCATCATCAAATTAAGGACAAAATTCTAATTCACCATAATTCTTGACGGACTTTCTACTCGTATATATATTAATATATCCAAAAATGGTAAAATAAGTTACCATTGAATTTCTCCATTCAAACATCCACCCAAAATTGGTTGTATACCATTTTCATGAACCGTATTCTGGAATGCTCCCCACTCGTCCAGGGTGCAACAGGAATCGTAATAGGTATCATTATCATAATGAACAAAGTTGTTGTTATTCGTCGATGAAAAATTGGCCTCTGTTAGAGGACATATGCCTGTATTTTTAACGTGGTCTAAAACATTCTCAACTCGATTCCATCTTAAAGCGGCGAGGTTTTCATCTTCAATAAGATTACCGATTTCATCAATATCATTGCAAAATTTCTGGTTTGCATCTTTACTGCGGCCGGAATTCTCCAAACTGGATGAAAAATCTACAGAACTCTCCGGTAGTTTTAAAGATGTGGTAAAACTGTGAGATCTAAGACTCGAATACGAATCGTAGTTTATTGAGCCGTCGTCGCTCATATCGTTGATATCAGAAAAAATTTTGATCTTATTAATATTTTTGGTCGCGAGGACCCGATTTCCGCCGGAAGTGGCGGCGTATAATTCCAAATCCTCGTACGATATTTGGTTGATTCGATCTCTTTCGTCATTTTTAGGTCCGTAAAAAGAAGAGCGGGAGGGTTTGTAAGGTGGTAGAGAAACGGTTGAAAGAAGCTTCTTAGCCTTGGAGGGACACTCGTTGGAAGATGATAGATTTAAGGATATGGTGTCAGTGCTATTTATGCTGTTATTATCGCTTTGGGATGCTAGGCGGCTATATGAGGAAATGGTAAGATAATTGTCCATTTCTGACTCGTTGGTCGCTACGTGGTCAATATTGTGGGTGTTATGTGGATTCCAGGAAGGGTCGTTGATAAACTTTGATGTTGTGATGGGGTGGAGAGACGTTCGGGAAATATCAAGATTGTAATCATAATTAATTTGATTTGCCCCATTGAAACAAGGCGCGTCGTTGTTATCGTTGACAGGTATATAAGGTGAATCGTATAATTGTTTATGACCGACTAAATCGTTCAAAGATTTAGTGACCAGCAGGCTAGGCCTACGTCTGGCTGCTATTTTATTATTTTCATAATTAAAAACTAGCCTAGAGTCCGGTTTCATTTTGTGGGAAGATGGGGAGGAAGGGGGAATGGATTTTTTACTTCCCACCCTTTTGAGGGTGGAAAATAAAGAGGTGGAATAGTTAAGCGCTGCATTAACTATACGATTATGGTTTGGGGATAGGTCGGATTTCCTTGTAAGTAGCTTGGGGTTGTGAGTGTTTGGAAGATTGTTGGAATCGGCATTTATCAAGGTTTTGTCTAGGGCCAGTATAGAGGAAAGCTTGTCGAGCCTTTCTTCGATTCCTTTCAGCTATTATATTTCACAATGTTAAAATTAAGCATAAATTTGTAAGTAATCACGTCAATATATTATTTTTTTAAATTATTTTATACTCTTAATTTAATAATATTATTTTGAAATTATAAATTTAAACAAAAAGGCAAATTTTAAATAAATTTATTTACAAACCTTAGTGAAGGATTTTTCATAAGCAACCTTCCTGGCCCTTTTAGCGTTCCTGTTGAGAGAAGGTTCTCGAGTGAGCCTTAAAGCTGCGCTACATATTTTGTTCTGGACCTCCCGATCCATCTTTAATTCTTGTATCCGTCGGCACAATTTGCCTATGACCGCGATTTCGGTATCACGCTCATTTCCGCTTAAGTTAGAGCCGTTAAAGTGATTTTTTGTGGCGTCGTCTAATTGACTAGACGTCAATGATAGAAAATCTAATGGGATCTTGAAAGTGGTCTCTTTAATGGTGCTTCTTTTCGTATCTGAATCGCGGAAATGCGTCGCTTTTGGAGTAGGATTGAGCAAATTGGAAAATTTATATTTAGAATTTTCGCGAGGAACTATTTCATTGCATAGAGATAACAAGAGTGAAGAGGAATATTCTTGGGTTTGATCTGGAGTCAGAGTAACGAGACTTAAAATTTCCTATAAATATTTTTGGTTTAAATAACTATAAGAATAAATTTTCTATTGTAAAATTAAATTCAAGTGTTTTAACATGTTAAGATATTTTTCGATGATTATTAATAAAATTGAGGGAAAAGTGTGTGTGTGTGGGAGGGGGGGGGGGGTTATATTTTAACTTTTGAGTTATTATCAAAAAATTATAATTTTCTTAAACTCCTATTTTAGCTACAAAATATTAATTAATATAAAGTATATTTTTTTATTGTTTCCTTATCAATGAATAAATAATTACAAAATATAAATTAATATAAACTATATTTTTTTATTGTTTCCTTATCAATGAATAAATAATTACAATAGGTAAATCTCACTTTATCTAAAATTATCTTACGATTTTGTATCATATACTTTTATAAATATCATAGACCTGCAGAGGTACCATTTGCTTAGCCCACCTCGGATTTCTTTAAAAAAAAAAATTTCGGCCCGGCCCGGATTTTTTAAAATATATTATATTCATTTTTAATTTTTATAGCTAATAATGAAGATTTAAAATATTCAAAATATAAAGACCGGTCTGGGTATTTTTTGTAATAAATTTTGGGCTTAGCCCGGGTATATTTAAAAAAATTAAATCTGGATCTGCAGGTCTCTAATAAATATTATTTGTAAGTAAATTAAATATTTATTATATATATGGAAAAAAATTACCGTTTCCTCGTCGTATAGTTGACATAAGAGAGCTTTCTTTTCTTCCAATTCTGCCAGTAAAACATCTCTTTTATTTAGTAATTTTTCTCTTTTCACTGTTATTTTTTTCATATAATATGATTAAATTTTAATGTAATGCTAAAATTAATCCAGATTTAAACCTAAGAAATTTGTCTTTATTATAACTTTATTTATTTTTAATTCCCTATTAGATTTTTATTCAAATTTAACCAAACCGTACCGAATATCGGTTCAGTTCGAGCCTTTAAAAACCGATTAAGACCTTTTTGCGGAAAAACACATTAAAATTATGTTTAAAAAAAGATATTTTTTCAAAAATTTATCACTAAATAATATCGGCCCGTTATACAATTATTCGTAAGATTCTCTTTTGTCAAATAATATGTATAAGGGGGAAGAATAAATTTTAAAGATGAGAACACTTTTTATATGCTAACTTGGGTAACGTCAAATAGCGATATAAAAAATATCTAAAAAAAATTATTGATACTTTTGAGTCTAAACTGATTATTAGTTATCTTTAAAAGATAGGGTCAAAGCGATTCACATGCATTTTTAAAGGCTCGGTTCAGGTTCGGCTTACAAATTTTTTTTAATAATAGCGGTTTAACAATTAGGCCTAGATTTGGTTTTGATCCCTAAACAATCCTAAAAATACATTCACAAAATTATAAATGTTTAAACAAATGTAGTCCCAAGTAGGAAAAATTCCTATATTAATAAGTAATTGTTTTTAAAAAAATGATTATAACCAAAATTCATCTCAGAGTTTTCTTCCTCAGATTTGGTAAATTTCTCGTTTTTAGGGAATGGCTGTTTTAAACCGTTAGGCACATTGATCTCGTAATTGTATACATTTTTATTCAATTCCGCAATAACATTATTCGCTGTTTCTGTATCAATTAATTGCTAAAAAAAGGTGGGAAGAGAAAAAAAAAATATTATTTTAAATTTGAAGATTTCGTTTTAATTTAATATTATATTAGGCTGAAGATTTTGCTCAAAGATGGTAGAATGATTTTGGACTTGTATTTGTCAAATCTAGGAGGCTTACATAATATTATTTTGGCTAAAATCTTAATCGGGTACCAATAGAGTAAATGTAATAGATGAGCTTGCACATCACTAAAAATAGTTTAAAAAAATATATATTACAGTTGAATGTTGATGCTCCAGATAAAATTGGTGCTGAAGAACAGATAGGGCCCATATACTCCTTGCAAGATTGTTTGTTTCGGCGTACCAATTGTAAACGGATATGTTGGAAGAAGATGAGGAAGAAAAAGGATTCCCACTGTTTTGACTTCTATCATTTTTATTCGTAAGAAGTATGAATTAGTAAATTTTTTAAATACGTTTCAAAATTTCCAAATTTTTCAAATCCATCTTCTTTGAGAAATTAAAAATATTTTTAAACGTGTCTTATATAAATCTTTTAAAAAGGAAGATATAATTGTTATCACGCCATTAATTCATTCAAATATCGTATTTTGCATGTGGAATAAAGTTTTCGAATAAAACTAGCATTCTGAAACTTTTAATATTTATGCTAACCCTACACTCGTAAAATTATTGCAATGTATGTCATAGGTTTTTATCTCATTATCAAAATATAACTCTCTTTTCGCTTTACCATAGGAATTCAGCAAGAATTCAGTCTTTTCAAAAGTTTCATATAATATGGCAATCTATAGGTAATTGCTTTAGTAGAACCGTCTAAATAAATTACAAAACAATCCCTCTTTTTTAAGCCAAGAGTTAATAAACCCGATAAATCACATTACGAGCTTTTTAAAATATTGAAGCTTTTTTTATTACTGAACAATAGAGCTAAGACCAAACAAAAACGTGTAAGCCACAAATAAAATCTATTGTAATAAAAAAAAACTGGTTTTTTTAGTATAAAATAATGGAAAAAGAAACAAGAGCCCGTTAGTAAATTATGGTCAAAGATTTTTGACAAAAAAATATAATATACCTTTTATTTTCGTGTATCTCGATAGAAAACTTTCGGTCCCTATAATACAAATTTTCGAGATCCTGCCAATGGAAAGTGGAGAGAATATTGAGTTTGCTATCCAAGTGGCTTTGCGTTATACCGTTGTTACTGATACCCAACCAATACGATAAATTATGTTTGTCCTTATTTTAGCGATATTTTTTGAATTGTAAGGTTATTTGGATTCGAATCAAAATATTACTATGTAAGGGTACAACTAAGCCCGAACCGGGCCCGAAGTTTTTAATATTCAAAAGAAGAAGAAAAATTTCCTTCCACTATGTATATGTAATATATTATATCAAAACAAATGAGAAGATAATAAAGTATTCTTTTTGCCAAGAAGTAAAAGAGAAGCTGAGAGAGATAGTCGAGGTGAAAAGGGTAAAAGTTATGAAAAATGAAGAGGTAATAATTTATAATTGGTTAATTCTCGTTATGCTTGCCATAATAATATTAAAATATAAATCAAATAATCAATAATCTTTCAAATACTTTGACTCGATAATAATGAACTCCGAATGTGGGACTTTGTTGAATGTCTTGCATGAATCTTAAATATAAATAAAATATAAAAAAAATTATTATGAAATATTAATTATAAATTTTGTAAAAATCGATTTGAAATGTTAATCAATGAGTTTATAAAATAAACGCCCTTTTTAATATATTTTTGTTTTGCCAAAATTGAAAAACCCTAAAATTGAGGATACTTTTTTAAAAATAACCTATCAAGGTTGATTCTCATTATCATCAAAAATGTGATTACTTCATATATGTTTTTTATTGTATATTTTGAAATAAAAGTACTATAATATAGCAGAAAAATAAGTTTACTTAATAATGGCTTCACCCCGGGACATACCAATTAATTTTTCATGATTTCGACATATTTCATCGAGACTTAAATGAAACAAAAAAATAATATAATAAATATTGAAAAGGAATTACAATGAAAGGGAAATTTCAAAAAAAAATATCATTAATTATTGTATAATCTAGTTCAGAGACCTTCATGGGCTGGAACAGCCGGCCCATGAACTTTATTATATTTTCTAACGGGTCTGGGCTTTTTAAATATATTTTAATTAAAATGTAGCTTATTAAAAAGTATAAAACAGTTGCTTACTCAAAAAAATATTGCAATTTATTTCCTCTAATAATAATAAATTCTGAGTATTGCAAACGAAATTATTTCCTAAATACATAGATATATTGTATTTTCATTGGATACAATAAATTAAATTTTTGGATATGGGCTTGAAAAATATTTTTTTAATATTAAATATAGGCCTGGCTTATAATTTTTTCTTTACTGCGAACCTGGGCCAGAACGATAAAAAAATAATCCAGGTCCATGAAGGTCTCTGATCTAGCTAGTCCAGTTTTCGCTTATTTAATATAAAGCTCGAGATCCTAAATTGGATAATGATATTTTATCCCAAAATTTGATAAAAACAGAGCATTTTGGCATATAAATTTTTTTAAATGACAAATTACATTTAAATTATAAAAGAAAAAAAAAATTTGTAGAATTTTAAATTTTATTTTATAAAATATTTTTAAAAAAAAATGCTTAGCTAAACCTAGTTTGTAAAATTTCGCGAATATCCGAAGCGCCATACATGAATTGAAGCATGGATTTAGAGGTTTCATAGCTAATAAAATAAAAATAATTTCTTCAAAATTTGAAACATTCTTTCCCCTTTGAATATTATCGCTAAATTAATTCTTTCCCTCTCTTCCTTTCATATTGGTTCAAAATTATTTATCTTTCCTTTACTTATGTTATCACTACCCTAGAAGAATATTTTTTATTTTGCTGGAGAAAAATAATGAAGCATTTAAAATAGCGCGCGAACTTAAGAGATAATAAATAATGTATAATTTACCTTTGAAAATCGCCGTATGGTTGCAGGGATAAAGCTAGGAGTTCGCAGTTTTGACCCGTATTGCAAAATAATATTTCGTTCTATATTATATAATAAATAATAATATAATGTTATAAATAAATGCAATTTATTAATAAGGAGCGTTATGATAAAGGCTATGATAAAATTTGATAAAACAATTGTGACGTATTTTTCAAAAATTATTAACGCTACGAAGAATCAGCCGTGATTTGGTTGGCGTTAAATAACGCAACGCTTGAACAACACGCTTTTACTATATAAATTATGCCTAATTTCGTGCCTTTTTGCACGTTAAAAATTTGTCTGTTTACTAAATTGTATGAATTCCTAATAATGTTAATATGTTAAATGACTACCAGCTGTATAAAACGCTAGAACGTCCTAGTTATGGTCATTCATAGTCCTTACAATAATTAATTCATTTTTTAAGAAAATTCATAAGAATAGGTAGTCTTTAACCAAAGTAGCTTTCTTTTGGCAATATCCTAAGAATACTTGTATACAAAGACCACGATTACGGTTCGATTATGGTCCGGTTGATAAAATTTATATCGGTAACCGTTCGGTTTACGCTCCGGATGCTAATTATAAAGGCGGCTGGGTTATATGTTACTATATAAGTTGAAAGCTGACTTGAATTTTAATAGGCAATAACAAATAAAAAATTTAATTTATAAGAATAATGTTGACGAGCGAGAATTATGGTTAATACATAAAACAATTCATTTATTTTTATTTTAAAAAGCATAAATGGCGGATTAATCTCCAGAAAATATGATTGGCTAAAGAATAAAGAAAACAATTATTTATTTTATTTTTTTTAAAAAAAGGGATAAATGGAGGATTAATCTAGCCATTAAAAATGGTTTGAACTGGTTCACGAATTTATAACGATATGGTGCATCACTTCCTTTTCCAATTTTGGAATAATGGTTCAGAAAGATATAACGGATCGTTTACTGGTTTAATTAAATCGGGTCATACTCCGGTTTAATGAGTCGATCGGTTCGTTCCAAATCATCTCTCGTATCTAACGTTAAAACTATTTATAAAGGTTAGGAAGAAATATATTCGATATGGGTGCAATATGTTTTCCCCATTTTTTTTAATTGTATTATATAAAAATTAACAATTCCCTTTAATTTTAAAGATATTAAAAATTTGGTGTTTTCTTCAATTATCATTGGCTTGTTTAAAGTTTTGACAAGCACTTTTTTCATATTCCTTCCTTTCCTTCTTACTTACCTTCCTATCTTCTCTGCATAAAAAAAGAAAGATTAATTTTAAATCCCCAATAATAATTCTCCGGAATTGATTTTCTCAAAATTTTTAAAATATATTATTTGAGGATTTTTATTCCATGGATATATATATAGGGAATTTCCTATTTTATTAATTTTGTAATTTTTAATATCTTAAAAAACGGGGATTTTATTTTTCCGGGGAATTATTTTCTTAAGATCAAATTTTAAAATAAATTGTATCATAATTTTAATATAATTTATCTTACGTTGCTTAAAGAGGATTTGCATTGAATGAAAAGCAATTGTAGTAGGCGTGGATCAGAGATAGATCCAACTGAATCGGGATAAAACCTTCAAAAATTATAGGAAAAAAATTGTCAATTTCCCGTCAAAAAAAATAATGTAATAATGTATAAATTTAATTTTAAAAAAACGAGAATGTTTTTTTTCCGCAAAGATAAAAAAAATATTTTTTTATACTTATATTTTCTCTATTGCAAACATATAAATAAACCAAACCCTATAAAAAAAAGGTATAATAGTAAAATTAGATAATTGTATTTATTTTACAACCTTTAAAAAAATCAATATTATAAAGATCGTTAATAACTTCATTTTAAAATGTAGACGCAAGAGTGGTTCTTGGTATTTGCGTTTCCCACAATTATTGAAACGCGTGCTATTACTATGTTTATCGTCATTCGTGTTTTCAATCGATGTATTGCGACAAGGGTTTTCAAAAAATTCGTGCTCCAAAACGTACTTGTCCATTTGTAGCCAGTGGGTCTTGTTGACACTTTAAAAATCAAATCGAATGATTATGGTATATTTCTAATAATAATGAAAATTTAATCTCGATAAATATAATCGATTATAAATAGGTGATTCTGTATCAAATAGAACAGTGTTTTAACAATACGATGTTTATATAATGTTCGCGTATTAGGGTCAAAAATTCAATAACGTTCCAGCTCAAATAGATTCGAGGAGATGGTCATGCAAGAAGAATAAGCTGCCGATCAGAAGGGAATGGGAATTAAAAATATTTATATCTAGTCACGCATCTTCCCCTGATGAGAAGATGAATATAACAGGAAATGCATGTCAATGCCATATTTCCGGTATAAATTGCATCTCTAGATCCATGATTCTGCGAAAACGTAACAACCATAAGATTTTTACCATTTAAGTTTCGGCCCATCCAAAAGAATGTCAAAATATGTTCGGTAAAACGGCATCAAAATAATTATCTAATTTTTATAAAGACAACAGGCGTGAAAGCCTGTGGTGCCCCGGTGGTAAAATGAGAGCAAATCAACAACCCAAATCTAAGTTCGAAGAAATATATTCCCAAGTTAATTATAAAGATGATCGACAACATTTCTTAAGTCAACCAATCAGGTGTTTGTAATCGTTTTATCTTCTTGCAAGATTGAAGAGTGTCAGGCAATATTTTCTGTGAGATAAATAAATTATCTTTGTCATGCATGCTGAGTATGTATGCATGTGTTGTATAGCGGCCAACAAAATAAATAATTTAATTCACTCCCTGAAAAAATTATTGGAGGCCGTTAACGTCCTGACACTGATTATGTTTTTTTAAATTTTTTAATCAATAAAGGAAAAATTTCTAGAATTACAAAACGATAATCTGTGACTTTGAAATAAATATTTACCAAGTAATTTAGTTGTTGTCCAAATTGGACTTTGAAGGTCACCATATCTTCGAATCTATTTCACAGCTAGAGCTTTAAAATATAAATTGCGACTAAAACATTTTTCATTCAATTTTAAAAAGAAACTCGTGTCAGAACCGCGTTTTTTTAGTAGATTTGTCGCAATTGATCCCATATAAGGAAAAAAAAAGTTTAATAATTTATATTATTTTCAATTTTATGTGCCATAATAAAATTCGCTATTTTATTTTTAAAGGATAATGCTAATTCATTTATAATTTTGGCTGATATTGTATATTCTAATCACGGTAAATGAGTATACTGAAGATGAAACAAAATTTAACCTTAAGACAATATAATATGAGATGGTCACTCACATTTAAAATAAAAATCTTTCATTATAAGTTTCTTTTTTTTTAAAAAAATGCCTTATTTTCCTTAACGAGAGAATGATTTAAATGCAGGTAAGAAAGATCTAGAATAATGAAATTAAACGACATTTCAATTTGTAAGATCGCAAAAAATATGATTTCTAATTAATTTAATAATTACAATAGTGTTAATTAACGTGTTGATAAATTACATATAACAAATTATGATACTAATTAGTAATTATATAATTTACCTATCAAAAAAAATATACATATATATATTATAATGATTAATAAAAATTTATAAAATTGATTCAATTACTCGTTATCTTGAACGTAACAGAGCCCAAAGTATTCTTTGGATTTTAAGTTGAAATGAGAACACACTATGTCCAGTAACTCCCCTGCGTATAATCTAGGCTAAAAATATAAAATATAATGAGTTGGATATAACTCCCACTTAAAAGAGTTTTCTTTCAGTTCATTAAACATGGACCATAATTTTAGGAACGTTCCGAGAATTCTTAATGTTGAAGCTTCCCATTCCGATCTCGTTAATGGCTATAAAGCGCGGATAAAACGGGAAAATTAAACGGGTACTTTAGTAATTACATTTGGATTATAAAATATTTTTAAATAAAATCCGAAAAAATCATTACTATATTTATTTGAAATTTTTTTTTAAGGAAGTGGATTGTTTTTAATCCTTAATTTTAGTGAATCTAGATGTTGGAGATGTAGCTAGAACTCATAAAATGATAATGGTAAATATTTTTTCTTTGATACCTGAACGATAATGTCCAATTTGGTGTCGTTGAAGTGAACGACTGTTTTACGGGCTTCGATCATCTATTTTTTAAAAAAAATAATATAATCATAATTGAAAGATAACTTTGTGGTCATGGGCCAACCAGCCCCATATAATAGCTAAAAAATCAAGACTCTGCCCTGAACTCTAAAATAAGTACTCTCCAGATTTAAAAAAAGCCTTTAGGCCGTGTCCTTAGCAAAAGAAAGATTTTTTTTTAAAAGAACAAACAAAAAAACGAGAATAAAATATGAAAAATAACAATGCTTACCAAATACTTAAAACAAGCTAAAATAGGGTTTCCTAGTTCCAAAGCTTTTTAGGTATACTAAAAAGCAAACATTAAGCATCAAATTTCATATCTAAAAACAAAAGAAAACCCTCGAATCACGAGAATTATATGGAAGTGGTATAATTTGAAAATTTATTTTTGAAGAAGATTTGAAACCCTTCAGGAAATCAATAAAGATATTTTTTTCCCCCCTTTTTCGAGCTTTAATATTTTAAGTAAGTAAAACGTATAATTAGCTTTCAAAGTGAAAGAGGAGTTTTAAACAAAAAAAAGGTAAGTTTCGCAAACTCCAGTTATTTTAATAATCTAAACTTCTATTGACTGCTCTAACAAGTACAGTTTCTAAGCTTATTAATCTTTACCGATTGCCAAACCCCAATTATAATAATAAAATAAATATTTATACAAAAGATAAAGTTTAGTATATTTTGTTTCATAATTTAAGAAAAAGAAAGGATAAAAAATTAATTTAAGGCGGTAATAAAACCATATTCAAACTATTTACATTTATTTTTGTAATATTATTCTCTTTTGAGATAAAAATAAAAATTAATAATTTTTCTAATCTTGATATATATATATAATTTTTTTTACAAAACCTTATTTATAAAGGAATTACCCCAATTCAAATATTTGATACTCTTATTTCTCTTTCAACAAAAACATTCTTTCTTTCTTTCTTTCATTTTTTAAATTCAATTCTTTTTTTATTTAAAAATTTTAAAAAAAAAAGTTTAAGTAAATAAAAATATTATATTTATAAAAATATTATATTTTTTTTTACCTGAGAAAAAAATAAAGAAATGGACATTTAAAAAGTAAGAATTTTTCGTTTAAATCACTTTTTTATGTAAAAATAAAAATGTGAAAAGAAAAAAGAATGTGGAATTGCACACTACCATTATGAAAAACTTTTCCTAATCCATAATTGACTTTGAGCGCTTAATAAAAATTTTCCCATGATACAAAGAAAAAGAATAATTTTTTTTCGACCCATACCCCTTCCTTTTGAAATCTTTTGAATGTTTTTTGAGGGAGCTAAGAACTCTCAGAAATGGTGAATCATCTAAGAACCGGAACTAGATCTCCGGAACCAACATTTTATTCGACAATTTTTTAAGTCCAGGTTCATCTGATTTTTTGGCATTCCATGGACCAATGAACGATCATATTTAGATATGATCTACAAGGTATGCTAATTTTTATAATTTTGGTAGCAGCCCTAATCCCACAGGAGGATCCAAACCAAATATTAACAGATAATAGGAAGAACTTTTGTTTTGAGGAGGAGGGGGAGGGGTAAAAATCTTCGTGATTAACATCTGTTTTGGCAGTCAAAGTATTTTGTGTCCTAAACAATTTTTAGTGTAACGAGATCGGTGACAAAATGTAGATTAATAAAATAACCTATTTATATATTTTAAAGGACCAATTCAGTTGTTTATATATTTCATTATTTTTTTTCATCGTAAATGTGGGGGGAAAAAAATAATTTTTCTCTTTTATCTTTTTTATTGCTTCCTGCTGCCCTGACTCTTCTATAAATGATTTCGAGGAACGAAATCAAAAATTATTATTTTTTAAAAAATATATATGTATAAACTAAAATCTTGTCAGTTGTCAGAAATTAATTATTGTAAGATCTTATCTTATCGCCATATATATTATATATTGTATATAAAATATTATACTAATTACACCCCTTTTAAAAGAAATCATGAGATATGAGAGTTTGTAAAAGTTTTATGGTAAATATTTTAAAAAAAGGAATAGAATAGATCATCCGGAAAATAAAATACCGATATTAGTTTAAGTCGTTTTTTTTAAACTTAACTAAATATTATTTATGGAGTAGCATCTTGAACAAAGCGGGGCTTTGAACCCGTAAAATATTTAAGCCGAGTACGGTAGGCCGGTTTGACGAAACCGGCGCCGGTTTAAACCAATTTATTTTTTAAAAAAAATCAAAATTAAAGCACTTAAATAATAAAAATTTGTGCAAGTCAAACAAATTTTAAACCACATGGAATATCAAATAAATTCGATGAATTTATTAAATTCTATATTCCACCCTCCCCCTCCCCTCATAAAATAAATTCATTTTTAAAAAAATTCATATAAGAATCAGAAAATTTAATCTTGCTGAACCGGGTTCAGAGCTCGGGTTTTGAATGCAATACATTTAAATATGTTAAACTATGATTTTTTTACCCATTATTCATTTATAATTGATTCATTCGTGTATAGATTTATCTAGATTTATTAGAAACCATCTTAGCTCATTTTTAATCGCAGCTTTTTCAAATGTCGTAATATAGATTACTGTTTTTTTAACGCTGCGAGAATAACGCTAAGGGAAAAGCTATATTGTTTTATATCAGCTGATTCAAAATGAAATTTGATCAAAATTTAGTAAACCTATATCTAGAGAAAAAAGTGGAGTGGGGGGGGGGGAAGTCTAGCTAGGATGATTTTCTTTGTGAAATTTAAACCAGCAAGGCGTATCTTAGGTAATTAAATTCAAAAATTAAGTTATTTTTCCGCATCCTTTAAAAAAAATTTTGTTTCCCTTTAAATTTAAATATAAAAATCTTGGGAGAAAATTTAATAGTAGAAGAGAGAAAAAATTACATTCTCGTATCTTTCAGATTGAAGTCCCCCAAAAATGAGTACAATCCTAAAAAAAGTAGAAATCACAATATAAATGAAAACAAGAGTTCTAAAACTTTGAAGATTTTTTTTAAAAATAAGGTGAAGATTTTTGATCAAATTTTGCCTAGAGTACGAAATTGTAATTTTCACTGTATAAAAAAAACTTCAAAAATCAAAAAAAAAATCTTTTTTTTTCAAATTCTATTTTTATTACGTGCATCCATCTAATAAGGTAACTTTGTAACCACCCCCCCTCCTTCCCCCAAAAAACCTAAATTAACATCAATAGAAGGGCTGCTATTTGGCGAAGTTATTAAATATCTCGATAAAATAATAATCATTATATATGCACTGGCTTTCAGCGATTATATTTTTTTTGCGATAACGACTTTGGCGATAGAACAGTCAGTTTACAGAGGACGGGGGGTTGGGGTGCCCTCATCTATATTTAATTAGAGCGAGACCTATTTTATCAAGAGTAAACATGGTTATATAAAGCTTGGGCACCGTAGTTAAATGATTTGAGTCGACTTATACAAACGGCCCAATTAATATTTTAGCCAAAATAATATTATGTAGATTTCGCTAATATTTCCAAGCCTTTCTGTTGTCTACGAGTAAAATCTCCAGACTTGCATAAAAAAATTTTGGCTAAAATCTTGAGCTGACCGTTTTTAAAAATCGACCAAAATATTGCCGAGTCGTTTAACATCACTAGGTTTTGGGCATTCGTGCTGCCATAATCCTAGATGGAAATATTTTTCAACTTTAAAAAAAAGCAATTTTTCGGGTGTAAACCTGATTAAAGGGTTTAGGTTAAAAAAGGGATCGATTTACCTTAAATAAATGGAATGATATTAAAATTATGCCATATTAAAAGCATAAAAATCTTAAATATATGGTTTTTTAAAAAAATCTATATTAATTTAAATTCTCTCAATGTTGTTTTAATTTTTTTTTTTCAACTCTTATTTACCCCGTAAATTCGCTTCAGAATGTGCATTCTTCTTCTTCTTCTTTAAGGAAAAGAAAATGAAGGGTATATGACTGATAAATAACCAAAATTTAGTAGGTGGTGAAAAAAAATTTGGAATATTTAGATTGATAAGTCAGCAAAATTCAGGAAAAGTATGGCATCACTATCATTAGGCGAAAAACTAAGACGATTTTTTTATAGCAAGGACATTGTGGTTTTAAATGAATCCAAGTCAAAATTTTTTTAAAAAAATTAAATTTTATTTTAATATTTATTATATTTAATTATTTTTAAACAAATAAATTTTTACATTTTATTAAAAAATATTATTTATTCTTATAAATAATGATCAAATTGTAACATAAAATTTTAATAATAAATAAATAATAAGAGATCTTCTTATACAAACATTAAATTTTTTTATTATAGAACTTTTAAAAAAAACCAATAAAATAAAGATATACAATTGTCAATTGTCTCTCTATTATATTATTTTGTGTATCATTAATAATGTTTGATTAAATCAAAATCTTATTTAAATGATTTTTTTTAAAACATTAGATATTCCGGGGCATATTCCCTGGAAAATTGCGTAAATTCCCGAGATAATTCCTGCACATCGCTTATATAAATATTTGAAGAAATTATAGCACATTATACTGGTATGACCACTCAAGGTCAAAGGGGAGCTGTCTATCAAAAAATATATTCGTCATTCGATACGAAATTTACGCATATGAAATTATTCGATTCAAAAATTTTGAGTCGAATTGTAGATAATAAATAAATTTAAGTTATTCGTTAATTTTGTGATTATTTGCAAATATTCGTAATTTAATTTTCTAAACGACTGTAAAATCAGAAACAGGAAAATTTTATGCCTGAAAAATAAGTTATTATTTTTATACATATTTAAATATTATTAAATTAAATATTTATTTTTTTAATCGTATCTTTTACCTCTTTATTAATTTGTGCGATAAAATGGTTTGAATTTTATCAATAATTTTTTAATTCACATACCAGTATTGGCCCATGAAGATGATGAAATTATTATATAAAATAAATTTCGACAAAGCGAAAGTTAAATAATTTGAAATATATAAAATTTCTTTTTCGCTAATATATTTGTTTTGGTCTGACAAAACTGCAAATGCCTAGGTAAGCTACAAAGTAATGTTATTAAGCGGCTCTTTTGAGCCGGTTTTTAAAAAACGACTAACTCAATATTTTATCCAGATTACGCAAGCCTTCAGATTTTGTTCAAAGATGGCACAAAGGTTTGTTGAACATCTATTAACGAAATCTCTAAACTTGGGCTCAAATCGAGCCTTTTAACAACACTACAAAGGCTAAGGAATGAATTATTTATATACCTTATTGTAAATGAAGAATTGTCTTAAATTATATTGATGGTCAATCATCAAAAAATAGTTTTCGAGATGAAGATAAAGAAAATAATCATAGTAAATTCTTCATTCTTGCTGTGTGACAATCAATTTTTCAATAATCATTAGTGGTGCCTTAAAATCAGTTCCATACTCTCCCAAACGATAGGGTCACAACAAAATTAAAGTTTCCCAATCAAGGGAGTTATAATAATATAGGCATAAGATAGGTCAAAAACCTGAATGTTGAAGGAGAAAAGTGAGATAAAGGATAATTAAGGATACACATGCTGTAGCAAATTTTAAGAACAACAAATTTTAGAAAACATTAGTAAAGTAAGAACAAGGTGATTTTGGATTAATTAATCATATTTAAATTTATTCATGAAAAATTGCTAATGAATTGAATCTACGAACAAAAGATCAAATGACCGAATTGATGGTCAATCTTAAGGTTTGGAGAATTATCTTGGCCGCAAGCCACCTACCAAAGCAGGTGAAATAGACGATTACCTATTAGTGCCATCATATCTTCGGGTTTTATCATGTGATATAATCATCATCGTGTCCTCTACTCTTTTAGGCCATCGATCTTTGGAAGCCCGATTCACTTCGTCAGACTCCTTTTGACTCAAAAGGTCCGCCATTTCTTGAATTGCAAACGATGTACATGCAGTAAGTTAAGATTTTTAAATTTCAAAAAACGGGCTCAAAAAATATTTTAAAGTTAAAATAACATATTGCTGAAAGAATCACATTTTGCCGTTAACATATATAATAAAATAATACAGTATATAGCTATTTTAGAGTTAAAAAATTTACATTTATAAATTTTTATTAAAAGCCTATCATGATTTTTCTAAATTTTGACAAATATTTCAAATTAATATCATTTCAATTATACATATATATAAGTGTTATTTAAAAAAACAACGTGCACAAAAAAATTTTAATGTTAAACTAATCATCTTGTGGGATGAGGCTGCCAATGAAGCTAATGTATAGTGGCAAGAGAGTCATGCGCAGAAACCAATCTGAGTGCACATTTAATGTTGAGATTGTCAATTTTCTTGCAGATCAAATTGGTCATCATCTAAATCAGTGAGGGTTTTCTTTTGTTTTTGACAAGCAATGGCATCATGTAATGCAAATGAGGGGCAACGATGGATGCGGCCTCTCTGATTTGCTGGTTAAAAGATTTATGTGAAGTTTTCTCGAGCACCCTGAAGGTATTATATCCATAGAAAAGGAATTTTAGCCATTCATTCTCATTGCTAAAGTTTAGCAGTAGGGAGGATAAACAATCAGCGAAAGATTTAGCAACTAGCAATCTTGCACCTTTAATGATCTTTGAAATGATATTTTTTGGAATGGTCAAGAAAAAAATCTTAGAAACCGGAATTTGAATTGAAGAGGTGGTACAAAATTTTCTGGAGGAATAATCGATTGACTGATATAAAACAGTGAAGCAAAGCCAGAATGTCGATAACTGACTGAAGGTTGTCCATGAACTTGTAAGCATCTCCATCTTTTCTAATATGTTCTAATTTCAGACATGAAGGACAGATTTGTGAAGAAGACATAAAGAGAAAAAAAAGGGTAAGAAAATTTCTTGAATAATAAAGAAAGAATAGTAGAGGAAAATAACTACAGGTTATGGAGCAGCGCGTGTAATGACAAACTTTTAAACTTCTGAAGAGGAGTTACTTAAAGTATATAAATATATTCTGAAATATCACAAGTATACATATTCATTCTCATTATTTCCACAACCTTAACAACCTTTGGGTGTCAAGGAACTTGGCTAACACATTCGTAAACTTACAGATGAACATCGCGAAGGCTTTTTCTTAAGACAAAGACTTGCCATAAATATTCCCAGGGCTAATTACATTAGCATGGGCAGCATCATCCCAACATTAATATTTTTAATATTTATTATCTTCCTTTTTTTTATAACATATATATATGTATAATTGAAATGATAATAATTTGAAAATATTTGTCAAAATTTAGAAAAATTATAATAGGCTTTTATATTTGTAATTAATTTATTTTACTTCATAAATTTAATAAGTTTTTTTTATATCAGTTTTTCTGTTTTTTTTTATTTATTATAATTAAATTTTATATGATAACTAACTAATAGCCCATCATATGACGTGGTTTAGCTGTAATTAGCAGTGTTGTTAAAATAGCGCGCTAGCGCGCTACTTTTTTCAGTAGCGGTAGCTATAGTGCGCTACTTTTTAAAAAAAATAGCGATAGCGGTAGCTCGCTACTAATTTAGAAAGTAGTCAATTTTACATAATAAATACATCTAAAAATTATTAAAATATATTTTTTATAAAATCTAAAATTATAATCCTTTTATTTAATTTAATTTTGAAATTTATATTTATATTTAAAAATATATATTATTGTTATATATTAGATATAAACAGTTGTTAAATAGCAATCTGTATTTAATTTATATTTAGCGCATTCATTAAATTATATATTTTTGAAATTCCGTTATTGGTATGTCCTTGCTTTTATCTTATTTTATATTTCATTTTACATTTTATATTAAGCATTATAAATCTTGTTATGTGTGAGATTGTTGAAGATATTGAAATTTCTTTGGAAAATGAGCAAAATATAGATGATCCTTTCCCAAAATTCAAGAAATACTTTAACCTTGAAGAAAAAATTATAACTGGATATCGGTTTCGGTGCAAGATGTGCCGCAAAATTATCTCTTCAAATCATACGAGCAGCTTTAGTTTGAAAAAACATTTAAAGGTAATATATTAAACAAATTTAATATCAATGTGTAGGCTAATCTTTAATTTTTAAAATAAATTAAAATCAAAAACCAATTATTTTTTTTATATATTCATAAATTTTATCTAAATTATTTAAAACATTTTAAAATAGTTATTTCAATCATTTTTATGTACTTATCTCCTACATAATTTTTATTCTAAGTATTTTATAATTTTAGACTGTGCACACTTCAAATTATTAAGAGATTGAAAAATATCTCAAAAGTTTTGGGGTAATGGAAGAAGATAAACCCACTCCAAATCAAATTTAATACAAACAAAATTAACCAATTTGGATTCATCAACACCTGGTGTATCCCAAAAATTGGCTGACAAATTCATTATAAACTTTATAATAGATACAGTTCAACCATTATCCTTGGTGGATAATGATTCTTTTATAAAGATGACAAACACTTTCCACGGACCAAGATATTTTGCCGGCAGACATTGATGGCAAGAATTTTGGAGAGCTTTAAGAAAATGAAAGAATTTTTGATATTAAATCTATCAGATGTCTCCTACGTCTGTACAATGGCAGATTGCTGGACTCACAATAAAAGGTAAAAATGTTTATTTTCTGATTTATAATATGTCATATTTTTAGAGCTCTGCACATTGAATTGATCCTAAAAATCTTAAACGAAAATCTGTAAGCTCTAAAGAGAATAATTGACTGTCAGACTTATGACATTCTAGCCAATATTATTGCAGAAATCCATAGGTCTTACAAAATTCAAAACAAGGTTTGTAAGATGATTACGGATAATGGGTCTAATTTCCTAAAGGCCTTTAGGTTTTAAATTTATTATAATTTTTTTATAATATGATATAAATAATATGGAATATTTGGGGAGGATAATAATAATAACAATACTAGTAATATTCCTGAAAAAAATATTGAAGATGGAGAACAAGA